TACGTGATTAGATTAATTTATAGCCATCCTGCATGTCACTCTGTACTGCAATTAGTCAATAATGAGTGCATAGATTTTATTTTACAAAATAAGCCGATTCCCAACAGTTACCATTTTTGAAAATGCAACTGCATCAAATTCCCATAAACCATTACAGATTAGTGCTTTTAGTCATGCATGATCAAATTCCCAGGTGCGAAATGAGAGTGTATGAGTTATAAAGGAAGATAACGTCACTAATATCTTATAAAACAATTTACCTAGTCTTGGTGTAAGAATTGAATGAATAAAAATTAATAAAGAATTCAACCGTTATACCGTGATTCATTAGCGATAGCAATTTACCACGTTAATTACTTACACATTCGTTCTTCTCAGTTATGAAGTTTCGAAATTTATAGGAAACGTGTTGTTCGATTTCTGTGGACAATTTTTTTCGTCGTCCATTTCATAATTTACCTCTGATTTATTGCCTTCGAAGCTTTTAGATCGCTTTCTCTGCGAGAGATTTCCATTTAAACTTTAATCTCGTTGGGCGAACGTTAATTTTCTCGCTAATCACTCATGAAAAATTCGTAAATTTCATATTTTTTGCTACTAGCTAGTAGTACTTCTTCGGCTAATACGCCCTCCAGTTATTTGATGTTCTTTGTATAATAGGTGGTGACACGTCGATCTTGTGAAAATGTTCCCAAGATTCCTGTCCCCTAAGGGGGATGCGAAATAAAGCAAATCTTGACTAAATTTGGTATGGGGGTATATAGTTTGGTAGTTTGGTATACAGTGTGTCCCAGATCGGGTGGGATTGCATGGGTAACTTTCTTATTATTAAAGATAGAGAATTGGTTAAATGGACAATGTTTTGCAGTTTTAGATGCGCATTTAAAATTTCCTTGTGGAAATTCAAAATGTCGAATAGGTTCGACGTAAATTCAAAAAAACTAAAATTGGTCATTTCCTTTAATGTCTTATATCATCGAAAGTATAAGAGATATAAAAAAAGTTTTATATAAAAGTTACTGTGTTTAATACGCCAAATTTAGAATTGATGTAAAAAAATTCAAGATGGCTACCTTCGAGGAACATTTACCAACTTCCTAAAGTTAAATAGGCGCCATATTGGATTTTTAGATTAGGTATTTGATAGATTTTTTAATTCTCTTTTCAACGAGCTATCATAGCATAAGATTGAAAATAAGATACCAGTTATATCAACGGTTTTTATGTTTTATATTTTAATCAAGAGAAGAATAAGAAATCATGCAATTATTTAGCAGGTGGAGATATACCAACTCGAATAGGGTGGAAGGAAGTAGAGCATTTAAATAGTACAGTTCCAAGGAGAATATCTGAGTCTAAACGCCAGCACCATAATAAATTTGAAGGTGGTGGGATCTTTTGATTCCTCAAAAAAGTACTACTGTGCCCTTTTGCGGGGTTAGAAGATTCGTCAGAAACGAAGCAAACCGAAAAACCTTAAGAATCTGAACGATTTGATGGATTTGAAGTACCTATTCGAAGAAAAGAAACTCGAAAGTTTTGGGGAACTCGATAAATTTGAAACGAGAAGAATTGAAAGACGAAACGGAATAATTCAAAGAACCTTAAGAATTTCTAGAATTGGAAGATTTTGAATGACTTAAAGAATATGATTTGGAGAAGTAAAAGAATTTGAAAAAATCAAAGAATCTAAAGAATTTGAAATTAAAGTGTCTTAACAATTTGAATAATCTTATGGATCAGAAAAAGAGAATTCGAAGAAATAGAAAACTCTGAGGAATAATCGGAAACGAAAAATGTTTAATGTTAGGAATCCAAAAGATCTGATAGATTTTCAGAGTCTGAAGAGTGCCAAGATATCTCAAAAACGAAAGAATGCAAATGTGAAAAAAATTCGAAAAATTGGAAATATAAAATATTTTGAAGAATGCAAGGAATATGAAGTTGATGAATTGGAAGAATTTGCAGAACCGAAAGATCTCCCGTCGAATATGAAAGTTCGCACACGTTATAGAATGTAAGAAGCCGAAGAACCCTGCGAATCATTAGAATCATTTGAGGAACTTCTAAAACATCATATGGCATTGCGGAATCTGAACAATTGGAAAAACTTAAGTCAACTAAACAAACATTTTAGTAATCGGAAGAATCTCAAAAAACTGAAGAATTTTAAGCTGGGAATGAGTAAGGGTGAAGGATTTGGTTGGAGAATAATTTGAAGCCATGTTGCCTCCTGTTTTGCACAATAAATAATCCTAGAAATAATCCATTTATCAAATGTGGCACAAACAAGAAAGGGGTGTAATTATGTATTAGGTGGAGCAAAACAGGATTTCAGAACTTTTCTGGACGGTAGTTCGTAGAAAACGGTTCGTTGAGACCCTTAATTAGAAGACCATCAAAGATAAAATTCATTTCTAATCCCCCTCCCCCTCCTCCCAGGCCCCGTCATCCACTGATCTCGAAAAAGAGCCGCACGGGAAGTTGTAGTTTATACAAACCAATTTATTTCGATGAGACATTTGATTAGAATACCATGAAAGAACGTGTGTGTACCCCCCCCCCTGGCAAATTTAAAGGTGTTAGTTGGAACCATTAAAGGCATGCGTATGCCGTCTAGCAAATCTTCAAGGTATACGCTACCTATTGCCACAGATAAAATTGGGTATTTTATCTGTGCTATTGCGAAAACTTCCAGTCAGATTTTGCATACGCTTGCCTTTAGTTGGGGGGGGGGGGCACATCATGGTATTCTTTGCTGTGACTGGTGACTAGCACAAATACCACCCGCACACCTGCGCATGCGCAGTTCTGCCCTTTTATGTCTAACAGTATGTGTACCAAATTTGGTTCCAATCCGTTTAGCCGGAAATAAGAGTACAGACGAACCGACAGACCGACATCATCGAGATTTTGTTTGATTCGGATTCCTGGTGCTTCAAAACGTGTATTTCCGTCAAAAAAGTATGGGGTCATTTTATACCCCAATGCAGTACCTCCCTTACTAACGTGCGGGTGGTAAAAAAATGCACTTTATCTGCACAATTTATACTTGTTTTATTTGGTGAGGCGGAGCGCTACCGCACTCTATCATTTAAAAAGGATCATAGCAGGATTCTAAAAACTCGGAGAAAAATCCAGGGATTGTTGAAAATGATACAAAGATTCTAAGAACATTCTAACTATTCCAATCGGTTTCTAACTGAAAATTGTAAGGAGTTTCTCAGATGGCGCTAAAATATTCTCCGAAGTCTATGGAGAGATTCTAATATTTCTAAAGGTTTAGTGGCTCTAAGAAGATCCTCGAAAGGTTTGCGTTTATTTGCAATTGCGCTTATCTTGGCATACTTACACTCATAGAAACTAGGATACAGCATTTTTTATCTGGCTGAATATTAAACATCTAACGATGGCAAGTGTGCCAAGCAAAGTAGTTGAAATAATTAAGTTTGGTTTGGTTATTTTCATGTTCTAAGATACCCAGATACCAACTTTCGTAGAGATCAAATTTTTTCGCACCCATGATGGTTGGTCTACATATTCACCAAGATTCTAACCCCCTTATCAAGATTTGAGATGACATTAATAAAATAACATTTACTAGGAATCCTGAGCACTGTAGCGTAATAAAATGAGAAGATTCGCGAATACAATGGTAAACTTAAATGGGGACAGGTTCATAAACTGAAACTATAATATGACAATAAGTAATCCAATTAACTCAAAAACTAAAGAAGTTTCCCTAGTTAAATTACGTTAAATTGCACATAAAAGATTAGGATATTTAATTTTCTACTTGAAATTCTTTACACACTATACACTATACTATAAAAATTTATGGTTTTTTGAATGATACAAAATACACAAAAATCGCTTTTTATTCCGTATTATTTGGAAATGTCGTCGAGATCCCCAAATTCTTTGGTAGTGGAAAATTCCCCTAGGCCAAGGTCAGCGTTCTTTGGTATGTGCAGTTTCTCTACGGCAAATGGAAAAATCCCAATACAGGTTGACCATTGGATGCTTAGTTCGTCTTAGTTTAAACCCACTATTCAGTCATATCAGCATTCAGTCGGATCAAAGACATTAATGGACAAGTTTGCGCTTCAGATAGCCTTATTTTTTTAATTTTTACCATAACTGCGCGATTAAAAATTCTTGCAGATGATTAATGCTCGTCTCTCTTCCTGTATTGCCGTACTGCAATGCCAGAATAGAACCACCGCAACTGTCGCGACCAGAATCCCTTTTTCACCAATAGCAAGCCCTCATTCTCATCCAAACTGTTGCCGCAGCGCTATTCAAAGTGGAACCAACGAAACGGGACGGTTAACTACTATTTCTGCTCAAAGCCCACGCATTATTAACACGCCTATTATTCGTATGAAGCGGTACATGTTATACGCCATTGTTACTGATCTGGCGTGATCAAGCTGGAGAACAAACCACGCTAAGGCCAAGGTTAAGGTACCCTAGGATCTTTAGGGAGGCTGTAAGACCAATCGGCCACCTTTATCTGGGGATACTTGTTACATACAACAAGTGACCTGCTCTCGAGAAGGGGTAGAGGGCTTTCTCCTTCTAAAAAATGGCGCGGTTGGCAGCTCTCAAAAATGTGTGCATCATCGTAGGGTATACACAGGGTGGAAATTCTCAAACTTTAAAAAGGGGCCAGTGTAAGATAATTTCGGTACCATGGCGGATCCTGTCGGAAGCGATTATTGTTACAAGATTCTACCGGGACTTTCTAGAAGTTAAACACCACTAACAAAAATGGCTGTGGTTTAGACAATTGAAACAGGGGTGCATTACCAAATGAGTCAACAGTTTAAATGCTAAACCGATTATGCTCGTCTCATTATGACCATGCTAACCTTTTGGTTGCACGTAATTATTATAATTGTCCATGATTGACATTCACTTCTTCATTCCCTAATAATATAGGTATACATTTAATGGAAGTATCGATACTAACGCATTCCTTTTTTTTCCAATTTCAGAATGTGATAATTGGAATCGCTTCAGGGATGACAGCATGTTTCGGTCAATTATCGGCGCGTCGTCAGGAATTCCTGCTCTACATGGCAGTTTCAATTTTAGCCGTAAACGCGGTGAATGTCGTCCTAATCGAATGGTGTTTGTATTGGACGGATTTATTGTCAAAATTAATTGCGAATCGACCTTATCAAACGCTTATTTATTGCGGTAAGTCGTGGGTTGGTTAGCGTCCGTTACACTTTTGAGTATACCACTTGCAGCTTGTTTTGCGACGCGGATAGCAGGCGCTATGGTAATCATAGTTTCGTTCATCGACAGTCAGCTCGCATTTTGCACAATGGAAACTGCCAAGAAACAAACTGCGAGCAAATTACGACGTTCACACGAGCAGGTTACGGATATTGAATACATAATTCCCAGGGTAAGAAATGCACAAAGTATTTACATAACTTCATGTAAAGTGGTACAAATCTGTTGTCTTGCAGCAAAAGTCGTCCAAACCTTATAGCGCATACAACGCGTACGCTCAAAGTTGGGTTTTTGACGCCGATACCGGGAGTTGTTCGAATCACAGTGCCAATTCGCCCTACATCAAACTGTCGCAAAATGGTACACCAAAAAATCCATCTTTGCAACACAACGTAGAAACCACCCCTAAACCCACAAAAGTGACCCATGTAATCGGAAATCCCGTTGTGCAAATAGAAGAAGCCTCAGACGATAGTACAAGTAATAGTGATAGAAAATTAAATTATATGAAGAGTTTTTCTCCGTGCGCCTCCCCCGTTGTGCTTTCGGCGTGCTCCTCGCAGCTTAGCTTAAATACGAATAGCGTTAGCAATCCACCGATCTACGAGTGCTTGGAGAAGCTAACGGAGGCGTCAGTGTACCGTTCCAGGCTAAACTCGGCGTTGAGCAACAAGGAGGAGGAGAATCAATATCAATTCCCGCAGCAGGTGATGTTGCGGCGAGTCGAGGCAATCACTCCCCAAGGCGAAAAGGTTCAATACGCCTCGCTTATGAAAGAGCTGCAAAGCGCCATAGGTAACAAAAAGGAATCGGAAACCGTGTCACCTCAGAGCAGCACGAAAACCAATTCAAAAAGCAGCAGTAGGCAAGATTCCTCGCGCACAGACGGTAAGAATAGTGACGCGGAATTTTCCAAAGAACTGGAAGCAGCTCTGCAACTAATACAAGACTTAGAAAGCCCGAATACCATAGAGACGCCGTCGGAGACGAAATCGTCGCTCGACGGCAAAGAACCGCGCCCCCTCGCGGTTTGGCGAAACAGCGACGCGAGCGACAGCGAAAAAACACTGAGTGCCGTTGGTTCGCTAGCCGAATTGACGTCCCCAATTTCCGAGTGCCATCCGGAACTATGTACTTTCAAGCCGTCACCGCACGGTAAGAGTGCTCGTGTTGTAGTTCATTGTGATTCCCAAAGCACATCCGGATATAGCTCGCCAACTCACAAAAGTAGTTCACACACCCCGAATTGGTCAACTTCATCCTCAATTAACGGCAGCCATAATGACGTAGGGAAAACACTCTCATACTCCATCCATAACACGAAATCCACTGCCGTTATCTCACTTTACAATTCGGATAGTTTACAATCGGGCGTTAAATCCGTAACTCTAGTCAATATTTCCGGCAATAACGAACCGACTCATTCCACTTTCATGCATTCCCCTAATCTTTATGTCAAAGATTTACACACCAATACCAATTATACAGACGTCGAGTCTGTTAGTAAATCGGTCGACGATATCAATGACGAGGACCATAAACTGGTTCGGAGATCTTCTTCCGGAGCGGCGAACGTTTGGAACGTCATGTCCATACTTCGAAAAAAGAAGCAAGGTCTGCCGAAGCTATGTCCCGAATTGGAGGGCGCTATCGTTAAATCTGAAAGCTTAGCGTATTTGTCCGAGCTTGAGCTGCTTGCTCGGCACCAGCGCAACAAAGACATACAAAGGGTAAGATAAAGGGGCTGGTGCTGGTAAAACGCAATTAACGATGCGCTATTTTTTCTACTAACACACCCTCTCCGTCTTTCGGCTTCTTTCTAAACGCTTAATCAGAAGTAGGTACTTACATCGAAATCGCATAAAGAATGACAATTCGCATTGATTCTCATATCGTTTTTAGCAAATCGAGCAGAAGGTTCTGCAACAGTTAGGATCCCCAAGGACTGAGTCAAATTGCTGAAGCACTACCTGAGCGGCCACACCTACTACTACGTCCAATTATCTTATCCGCAATGAGTTAATTATTTATTAACATATATTTTTCTGTAATATTTCGGTATGTAAATATTGTTATAGTTTAATATAGTTTATAATACAATTCTATTGTAAAGAATAAATTGATTTATATTTACAATACTCTGTTACATTTTTCTATTTTGTATCACATATCTAGGTATGAACATTGGTACTAGGATCAAGGTAGGTACAACACATTGAAAAATAATCGGAATCAATATTAACGTAATCCCGCATAACACACCGACGTACATCAAACGTGCATTGTATGTACATATATGGTACCAAAATGGTACGTACGCGTATACACAGAATTTATACATTGGACTTCCACGGTAGGTCCAAATGTCAACGATATGGACAATTTATGTATGTACATGAATACTGTACGTCCTATGGACGTTTGTTACCAGTCGTTTTATTGCACTAGATTAGCAAATAAAACGGCTACTTTGAAAGTGACATCTATTCAAAAACTGTTAAATCAAGCGGAATGTAAAGTAATGTAAGTAGATAACAAAAAATTCACTTCCTTTCCTTTGCTCTTTTGCACCATTTAAAAATTGCTTTTTTGGAAACTGTCTTAGGAAATGTTTGCATTCCAGCTCCTAAAAACAAAAATGTATATGAATTCGAGTTTGTGCTCGCCATAATTGGAACAAATGTCCATTGGACGTACACTGTAATTATTTTATGGACTACCTGTTATATATTCCACAAGAGGAAATCATCGGACGTCCACTGAGTACGTACACCTTTTCTACATGGACGTCGTAACCTAAAATGGACGTCCACTATAAGGAACTGTGTCGTGGGGATATTAATTAAAAATCCAACCGCTACAATAAAACTGTTTCTAAGACCAAAAAAGTGCTTACCTTACCCCTATGCTTAGGCAACACACCTCACAACTGAAAGAATGGCACTTTGACAAAAAAGTACGAAACGCTCTGTGTGTATAAAAAACCTCTTTCCTTCTCTGTAAGATAAAAACCATGAAGTCTTCGACTTTGTCCGCTCGGCGCAGATGCGATGGAATACGGATTTTACGCAACGAAAGTTGGCAAGACGGGATTGCGATGGCGTCGACAGGGTGCATAACGCGTTCTCAAGTTTCCTCAATGTTTATTTTTGTTGTTTTGTTTGGAAAGTGTATGTAATAATCTTTTTTTTTCTTGAGGTAACCATTAACCATTGAATTGCATATGGCATGTCACATAATTAGTTATTATTTACATTTTGCGTGAAATACTGATACTGAAGCTTTTGTTTATGTACTGTTATTGTTGGTTATACTGTACAGGTGATTAAAAGCCTTTATATTGTTTTTTAAGTATTTATTTATGTATTCACGATACAAGTTTATCAGTTTGTTGTTGCCATGTGCGTTTCGATTTAACTAGCCCTGGGAGGAAGTTGTTTTTTCGCTATATTATGTTGCTTCCTTAATCTCGTACAGACCGCAGATCTTGCGTCTTAGCAGTGCGAGAAGGGGGAGTCCTCTAATCAACCTTTGCTCTATTACTTAATGTGGTTTTTCTTGTGCAACAATAGACTTTAACATGAATACTTACTACTGGCATTTTTGCATGTACTTTTCGTTAAATTATGATAGCCGAGGCTGGAGTATTTTAAATGGCAAAGCTTGTAATAGCGCGTTAAATTTTTATATAATCCTGCGTAGTAAGCTAAAGCGTTTATTGGGTCCAATTTTAGTACGGAACGAGTCATCGTTGCCTTTAAACCACCGTCACGGTGCGGACGAAGATTTTCGCAGGATTTCCGAGAAAGGCGTTGTCAAGTGTACCGTAACGCCGTGCCCCAGGAGTGCAAGGTAAACTGCGGGGTAAAATGGACCCCTGTTCCCGGTGGTACAGATTTGCGAACTGCGAATGTATTCGCGAGCTCGAATTTCCAACTAGGAGAAGTGATACGTTTGGGAGATGGCCCTAGCGGATTCTTCGATTCCGGGGTATCCGGCGATGGTGGTAAGCGTTAAGCACTTTCTCATGGCTCTCGCAACCGTGGGACTGGGTTTGCACAAGCCCAAGAAGCTGCGGTGCGGAGACATCCTACGTGTTCCGGTAGTGGCCGGTTGGAGTCTGCCATAATTAGGCGGTCCAGGTATATCATGGAGGTAACCCCAAAACGGCACTTGGTGGTGCTAGAGGTGCTCCATCACTATCCGTAGATTGTCGAGGGGTTCCTCCTATGAATTGGAGTCGCTGTCGTCGAGGTATAACATGGCGAATTTCCTCAAGAACCCCGGACGCACCTCTTGTGTCAACAACTTCTGAAAGGTGGTTGGGGTGTTCTAGAGTTCGAAAGGTCATTACGGGTGCAACCGTTCAACCTGCGGTAATCTACGAAGGAACGCGCGTTGCCGTCTTTCCTTTAGACAATGACGATGGAGGGACGAGTAGCTGCAGGTGCTTGGTTCAATAATGTGGTCGGCCAGCATCATTTCGATCCCCTGGGCAATGCTCACCTTCCTGGCCGGCGAGTAGCGGAAGGGCGGCAGGCGGAAACGCGTGGTATAGTGCAATCGTATTCGGTGCGTGGTCGAAGTGTTAGTTGACGGGACGGTCCTCTTCCGGAACCGGAGCAACAGTGGTGTCGCAAACCCATGGTGTACCTCTTCGTACTTTGGCTTGACAATCTCGGTTGACTTGACGGAGGGGGCCAGGGGATGGTTTTCCGGCATTCTCTACCCCAGGACTACTGTGGTGGAAGACAGCCTCGTTGCGGAGCACCCTGAACTAGCGCAATGGGCGTTGCGAGGTCATTGACCACCAGGAAGGTTCCTGTTGCTTGGCCTCCTGAATTAGGAATTGGAGTTGGGTTCTCCCAAGAATGTTGAGAATCTTGCCGACCGCGGTTAGGGGTGCTGTCGTTTGCTCTGCGATCGCGCTTGTAGCAGCGACAGATGTGGTGCTCCTGATGGTGGTGGTCGACGCACATGCGGTGGTAGTCGAAGGGGCGCTGGTGGAAGTGGGAGCAGCATGAAATCATACTCGCGTTGCTCCTCGTGTTCAGTACCATTTCTGAGTCGCCCAGTGAGTTCCGATGCGCTTTGCACTCGTAACAGACTGGGCCTCGACAAAACAAATATATTTACATTACCTATTATATACAAGGCATGATGTGGCGAGTGCAGATGCGCTGCTCGACGGCACTGCGTGGCAGCGCGACAGCTGATGGAACTTCTGCAGGTCGGCAGCGCAGGATGGATGAGCCACGATTTCCACTTTCAGTCAATAATCGCTTTAAGCGGTGTGGAAAGTTTCCCAATTCTACTGACTCTACTGGTGGTTTCGACGCTGCTTACACTTTGCTGCCTAATGCTCGCTATGGCGTTGGATTGGACGAACCGTGTTGACCAATTGCAAGCATGCTTCGTTGGCAGACTCGTCCGTAACAATCATGTTACCGGGCGGGGTAACGTAAGTGGCAAACGGAGGTTGAAAACGTATATTACACAATATTTACAAATAATACAGAGGATATATGTACATATATAAGATCGCTTCTGGCACGTGGGATGGCGCCGGACTTGACTACGGTCAAGCCGGGAAGTGATGGCGTGCGGAGACGGTACTTGAGCCCAAGCGACCAGCCTCAGTCGCTTGTGTAGGGTAAGGTAGGCTTGCCCAGGCACAAGTGAAGTTCCCCTGTCGGTGCGCTGCTTATAAACAATTTCCGGTAGAGCCGTCTGGCGACGCGGCCAATAGGGCGCTAGTGGATGGTGGGGTGGAAGTTGCAACCCCTCTCCTAGTCGTCGTAACAGTATCCCCCCCCTGTAAAGGGGTTGCGACGGCGGGGTGCAGGCGCTGTAGCAAACGGCGGTGACGGGGTTGTCGTTGGTTCCGTGGTGGCGTCGGTGAAATGATTCTTGGCGGAAGTTCCGGTACTGGTGCCGGGGTGGGTTGGTTGGGTGCAGGGCGTAGATCGTGTACGTGCACCTTTACCAGTTCGTTTCCTCGCCTTATCCAGTACGCGTTTGTGCCCGCCAGCGCTTCGATGGTGTAGGGACCTGTGTACTTCATGTGAAAGTTCCCGGAGTGTTGGTCCCTGGATCTTTCCATCACTCCGTCGCCTACTTGGTACTGGGTGCGGGCTGGCCCGTAGTTCGCGTACCGGCTGCGGGATCGTGCCTGGTTCCTGTGCACCGTCTGTACGACCTCCTCTCGGGCTTCTCCTGTCGGTGGAGGTGGTCGATCCCTGGCTTTCCACTCTCCTGGCCTGGGTAGGTCGTAGCCTAGCAGCGCGTGGCTCGGCGTGAGTCCAGTAGCGGCGTTTCTCCTCGTACGTAACGTGAACATGACAATGGGTAGTACGGCCGCCCAGGCGCTGGGGCTTTGTCCCACCAGATGAGTGCGGAGGCCCTTTTTGATTTCTTGGTTCCGGCGTTCGACGGGGTTCGCCTGCGGGTGCCATATGGGCGTCGTCCAGTGCATTGCTCCCCACTTCCGAAGTGCCGCGTCCCATGTCACTGATGTGAATTGCGGTCCGTTGTCTGAGATGATCGCTCTCGGGAAACCATAGCGTGCGAATACCTCGTGTTCCAGGATTCTGACCACTGTTGGAGCGACTGCTTCCTTTACTGGAAATGCCTCCACCCACATGCTGAAGAGGTCCGTGATCACGACTATCTGGCGGTAGCCTGTAGGTGTGGCGTCGTAGGGGCCCATCAAGTCTACGGAAACCGCTTCCCAGGGTCGTGTGGGTTTGCGTGGGCGTACGGTGGCGTCCTGGACCGGGCCTCTTTTGACTGCCGCGCAAATCCAACATGCTCGTACATAATTCCGCACCGTGTCTCCCAGTTTCGCCCAGTGGTAATGTGTCATTATGGCCCGTTCCGTTTCTTCGGCTCCTGGGTGTCCAGCTGTGGCTGCGTTGTGGTACGCTTCTAGTACCGCTGGTTGAAGGCTGCAGGGGACTACGAGTAGGTTCCCTTGGGGTGCTTTGCGGTAGAGGTAACCGTTGTCCACCGTGTAATCCCGGTTGAACCTTGCTTGTGCTGGTGTCGCTGGTCCTTCCTGCTGTATCCTGTGCCAGGTGCGTACCAGAACGATGGCGTTTTCGTTTGTCTTTTGGCACTCCTTCACATGGTCCGCCAA